GTGTTTGTGTGTGTGTGTGTGGACACGCATACATAGGGAGGGGGGAGTAATCACGTTTTGTATGTGAGTGTGGGAGAGCATATTCCGAAGTGGTTGGAAAGATAAATGAACTTTTGATTATCGATAGACGCAGGTGGCAGACAGACTACCAACTACTTAGTCTATAGCTAAACATTTAATCGATATCAACCATAAGATTGATGTCAAATCAACTTATAAGGTTATTTTTAATAACGGTCAGGGGTGTTTTATTGAGGCTATAGGCTATTGGTAAAATAAACTCCTCCCCCCCCTCCCCCACTATATGTTCAGAAACAATTTATTATTATTCTTAATCCACCTACTTTGGTAATCCTTATCTGACTAGAAAGCCAAATGTAGTGTTCATTATTCTTAAATTCCTTTTTCTCATTTTGTGTACTTTAATTGGCCTTTATGTTTTCACATAAATTGATTTGATAAATAATTGTGTGAGGGATCAGATTGTTGTTCGAAATGTATACTAAGCAAACATCACATTTTTCAGATAATCTCCATCTTCTTCTAATAACACACTCCAAATTTATAAAGGGGATTGAGTGTTTTGAATATGAACAAGACTAAAATAAAGGGGTTTTTACAAATTAAGATGGTTCCATCATTTGTTCTGATGACTTCTCATCAGCTGCCTACGTCTAAAGAAGTGACAAGTTTATATAAAGAACGATTTCAACGTACTTGCAAATGTGACGACACGATGTCAGTTGACAGGAGGTTTCAAACTTAATTGACAGTGATCGGTAAATTGTACTTATTTGGTTTTCATTAAGACAGAGTTCCAGTTTTAACAAAATTAACTTATGCATACAATGGTGAATAAGTTACGTGATAAGGACAACAAGTGAGTAAGATGATGCATAACAAATAAATTGAGTGACAGTGTGGTGAGTTCAACTCAGGTCATGGAAAAAAGAGACAAGCAAATCTACACTATATCAAAGGGGGTTGAAGTTATAGCCAAAGATACGTGATCAAATGAAAGTGAGAATAACGACACCCGGTCACCAGCACAAAGAAAGATTGATAACTGTTTCTTTTTAAACACAAAAATCGGACTTCACGTGTTTGATAGAAATTATTTTGGGGAACTTGAGAAGAACTGAACTGTGTCGTTCATCAACAATTTCAAAGGACTTCAGGGTGTTCATCTCATCACTAGCATGGACGAGATTCCTGGCAATAGTACTATTGAAGTTGTTAGATGACTGGAGGCAGTCGGTAGAAATTCTTAGACCTATGTTTCGTGCTATTTGGCACTCATCAGCAAGTCGTTACTAACTACTGTCCAATCAAACTGTCAAACTTATGTTTCCCTTTGAGGCGTAGACAAATCGATTATTATTATCATTTCCTTTAATTCCTAGAGGAACATAGGGCTTCAGCTGCGCACCTCCATCGCCTTCTGTTTTCTGCCAACTTTTTCACCCCGCTACAAGTCTGCCCACATGCTTTCATCTCCTCCTCACATGACCTCCTCCAAGTCACCCTTGCATTGACAACCAACTCGTCACTTCCCTTTCGGGTTCCACTCGAGCAGTGGCTTGTCTAGTGATGTCACTCACTTTGTGGTTTCCTCAGAGTATGGCTAGTCCATCTCCATTTCTTCCTGTCTATTTGTTTCACAATCGGTTCCTGGTTGGTTGGTTCGCTCATTGCCAGAGATCCCTGTTCCTGATCTCTTCTGGCCGGCCATCTGATCTTGAGCGAAGTATTGAGCGAAGACAGCTGTTAATGAAGGTACATTTGAAAGAAGTCACTCTCTTCACCTTTCTACTCAACATCATTTACAATAAGAATCAATGTATACTTCACAGCCTTCAAATCAGTTGGTTTGTGATATATTAAATTTAGGAGAAACATAACATCACTTAGTGTTGATATAATCAGTGACATTAGTGAACAGTCTTGACTCAGACGTTTCACATAAACTTCCAAATTCCATTAATTAAGGCAGTGTTTTATTACTCTGAATTATAATATTTTTGTCATTATTATTCCCTTGTATTGCGAGTAGAATATGTGACTTCAGTAACATGTCTCCACTTTCTTCCATTTGCTGCTCTCCTTTTCAACTCGCTAGCCCCACAACTGACCATAATCTCTCATCTCCTCCTTGCCACACAATCTCCTCCATGTCACCCTCTCATCGACGACCCACTCGTCACCTACCATTCGGATTCCACTCGAGCTATGGCCTGGTGCGCGATGTCACCCAACGGTCTCCTCAGAGTATGCCTAATCCACCTCCATTTTCTCCTACATATTTGTTGAACGAAGGATTTTTGATTGATTTTTGTCGTTAATTATTATTTTTGGCCAGTATGCACTCAATGCTAGGGTTCAAACTCATGACCTTCCTATTACAAGGCGAGAGAGCTCGTAGACCATTAATCCACTGGGACCCAATCCAATGCAGTAAACAGCCCATGAGTTCCAACTTCCGTCAGTTCATGATACAGCGTGACTGGCACTAGCTGATGTTATTGGTGGTGAGTATTTTTTTCTCACACTCTCTTGACCTATTGTGTACCTATTGATTATGACTTCTCACTGGAAACCAGATTGATCAAGATCTCTATTACCTTTTCGGTTCTAGTTGACTTTGACATCTCCATCCATTCCAACCGCCTGTGGTTGAAACGATGCTGCCCAGGAAATCGAAGAAAGTAACCTCTTCCAAATTTCTCCCCAGTGATATGGATTGTTGCTGGTTGCTATTGTTGCCGTTGGTTGGTTATCTTCATCACCTCTGTCCTCTCTGTGTTCACTTCACCTACAGTCCTGTCTTCGCTGCCTACTTCTTCTGCCAGTTTGTTAGTTTTCGTCTGTAAATCTTCGGGTTTGTGCGACATTAGACATAAATCATCTGCAAAATCCAAATATCACTAGAGTCTTCCTATCGATGATCCAGCGTATTCCTGTCTCCTCACTCCCATGCACAGTTTGATGTATAATCCAGTCCACCACAACTAGGAATATCATCGTTGATAAAAGAGGAGGCAGCCTTGTCTTACTCCTGTATTCACTTCAAAGACTCCCTAGAGTTTTCTGTTGTGGAACATCTGACATGTGGCATTATGACACAGCTGAATTACTCTTCTCATAAAGGTCAAAGTGTAGGTGGTCCAGAGGATGGATACACACTTAACACTTCTATTTTAATATACTGTTATTACTATTACTACAATCATGATTACGACTTTAAATCTCAAGTGGAATACAGGACTTCACCAGCACACAGCCTGAAGCCGCTTTCAACTGGCTGTCTTATTACCCACAAGCTTTCATTTTCCTCCGCACACTATCTCCTTCACGTCGTAGTCGCATCAACACCCAAGTTGTCGTTTCCCATTCGGATTCCACATGACTGCTCGCCTGACACTTGGTGAACACAACACTCATAATCATCAAATCAACTGAGTCACAGGGCTTCCCAATTTTTCCTATATATGGGAGCATTTTCTGGCTTTCTCTCTCCGTCCATCTCCCCCTTGTTGATTGTTGCTCATATCTCCGGCGTAGGCTTCGCGTCATTTCGATTGCATGAGTGCGGTGTTGGATCGATAACCAAAGATTCAGTCAATTACCTCTTCCATACCATCTAACTATAATACTTTTTGATGCTTTCACCCGCATCGTGGCATAGCGGTTAGGACGCCCGCGGACCACGGACATGGTCTGGGGTTCGATTCCTGGCCACCGACGCACTCCTCTACCTCACTAAGCCAGAAATGATGCTGGTAAAGAGGAAAGGTTGATCATGAGGCTGGCAACCCCATCCTGTAAAAATAAACACTGCTACGGAAACTTGAAGCCCAATGTTCCACTGGGGAACGTGAAGGAAAAAAAATGCTTTCACCCTATTTTGTGATCGTATTCAGGTGAATGAATTGATAATCCCCATTTCATAATTTGGCTCTACCAATTTTTTAATTTTATTTTGTTTATTCAGTTTGCATACTTTCTCTTTATTACGTCAGTTGCTAATGTTATCAATAATAATAATAATATTATTATTATTATTATTATCATTCTGAATTGTCCCCGATATTATATCACTTGTTCCACTCACCATTCTAAATCAATTCTGTTTTGCAACGTTAAATTTTAGGCTATCAAATTTCACACAGTGGTATGTGACGTTTTTTAAAATTTTTATTCTATTTGCCTACTCACACCATAATTTCACACCCGTTCCAAGTCTTATAGTTCTTATGAATTATTCTGTATATGACATTAAATTTTATTTTTTACCATTTCACATTGAAAATATGTAAAAGTCAAACTGTGAAGCCATGTGACTAAATTTCATATGATGATTATGCGTGAGAATGATTTATGCTCGAAACTTTGTCATCCAGTTGTTAGTAGTACTGCATCTCATCACTTTGTGTGATATTTAAAATGAACTTACCTATTATGGAATTACATTCTACCACAGGTTCTACACTTACATTACTCACTGACACTGTCCAATAATTTTTAAACAGGCTTATGAAGGATAGACACCTTGATTACTCAAGAATTTTAAGGATATCTTAACAATGCATAAATACTGAGACGACGACTACTGTGGTGGTGGTGGTGGTGTGATACAGACAATGTATGCCAAAGGAGTTTTGTTCTCACAGTTCAGTTCGGCATTAGCAATAGAATACTACATATGTATATTTGAACATTCTATTTCGCGTCGTTTGTTGTAGACCGCAATCACGTGTTCAGTGTTTGGTTAACGACTATAAACTGTAGATATATAAACAACAGTTTGATTAATGAAAAAGATACCTTGGCTCCCATGTCTTGCATTCTGTTGTTACCCTACTGTTAGTACCCATAAAGCGATATACTGACAATCCCTTACTGAGCATAACTTCAGTTTTTCTGCATATATATGTGACTGAATGAAAATTACTCAGAAGAATGAATGAAAAAAAAACAGGGCGGAGAGAAAAACGACTCACTGAGAGATGATTTTGCTTCTGTACTTCACCACTTGATGAATTTATCTGTCGCTATGTTTGAGTTTAAATTCCCAAACAGAAGCAATTTTTTCTTCAATAAAATCAAATGAAAACTTCATCCTGGAACAGTCATATGTGTGTGTGAATGTCTGTGGTTCTACACGTTTATAATTCCAAATTTTAATACATATACGTCCAACGTAATCCTCAGATATTCAGTAGTATGTTCATGTAGATGTATATGTATACAGAACTCAGACAAATCGTTGACAAGTTAGTCGCACTTATGATAATTATGTATAAAAATAAAATTTATAAGTCCTCAGCTCTTTTTTCTCATGTCATTAATAGTTTGGAAACATGTAGTATAGAGATATATATATTAGGTGATCTTTGCTAATGACAATGAAATCTGATGATTGGCATAATAATATATATATATACTTTGACGTTTTCCCTTCAAACATATGACGTGTTCCCTGTGATTATGGGTCTGTGTGTGCACGCGTGTGTGTGTGTGTGTACGTGTCTCTCTCTATCGCATAAAATCTAATTCATACACGGTCATGCTGCTTACAGGCAGGTAAGCGTTAAAAAAAATGGGGACAGCAGAAAAACAAACCCAAACTGTAGCGTTATAAATATCTTCTCCTCTTTGTTGTAATGTCAGTCAATTGTATGTAATTCATGCATTTTGCATTTATAAATGTACATGTATATGTATATGTCGATGTACATATATATTTATATAACTAGTATACGCGTGTATAAAAACAAATATATTCGAATAAGAGATAATTATGAATAATTCATGTGCATAATAGTTACCACCGTTTCTGGCTTTCCTGTTCCCAAATAAGACTGTCAATGTTAAATTTGGATTTGTCTACTCATCATCACAAGTAGTGGTAGTAGTAGGAGGAGGAGGAGGAAGAAACGGAGTAATCGTCATTATCATAACTAACGGAAATAAAAAATGCGAATATTAATATATGAACTTGTATTATATATGAATAAAATTGAGCAGATGATGGATGGACAGATGAGTGAATGAATGAATAAGTAAATAAATAAATAAATGAGTTATATTCATTTAAATATTCCTCAATGTGTGGGTGTAACTCCTGCCTATTCACCTATGATAAATATTCACTCATTCTCTCCTATGATTATAGCCAATGCATAAATTGACACACGCCTACTCACAAGCACGCATCCCTAATGAAATATACATATGTACGTACTCACGCACGCGCGCAAACACACAATATATATATATATTCAAGCTAATATACATATAAACAAAAGCTGATATCAAGTGAATATATACATACATACACACCCACTTGCTTACTTACTAACTTATTTCTGTTAACTTTTCATCAATGATTTTATTACACTGGCATTTTTAAACAATAGAGAGTTAGATAGTGTACTGTGTGTATACCAACCAATCTAATGATGAGACGATCTGTTTGTTAGTTGTGTTGTCGCTTCTGTCATCATCTTTAAGATATAGTCATCTCCATCATCGTCATCACCACCATCATCACTAAAAGGGAAGACAACTCTGCTAGAGAAAATTAAATGAAGAGCTAATTAAAGTAATGTTGTGCAAATTATGATCATCATCACACTGCGTTTGTTTGTTATTCCTAAAGGTGGTGGTGATGACGTACACATTCTAAAATGATAGTGTGAGATACTGAGAGGGAGAGAGAGAGAGAGAGAAAGAGGGAGGAGAGCGGACATTTAACATACACACACATGTATATATATGTATATAAACAGTAACCAACATAAGTTTCGTTCATCTTACAGGTGCGCACGCGCGTGTTTGTATGTGTAATTATGCCTATATATTTTCAACCAGGTATCATGTAGGCAGGCAGACAGGCAAGCAAACAAACAAGCAAAGGAAGCAATTAACTGCACAACTAAAATTTGAATCACACACTAGCTTTGAAAATGCAAAGTTGGTTCTGTGTGTACTCAAAGGTAAAGACAAACAATACTTAGGTAAGCTAACAACAACGTAGAGATGAATTATGTTCAGTTAAGTACAACAACAGCAAAAATTGGGACTACATAAGCAAAACAACAACAAACACAACAGAGATATATGAGATTTAAAGTCAACCTGATTTCTCAAGTGCTTATCACATCACACAGAGAGTTTATAAGTGTTAAATTCTTAAAATCAAAGTAGCTTACGTAGTTGAATTAGTAGTGTAACAGCAGAGGGCAAGAATCAGAAACAAACGTGCGTTTTCACTTAATCAAACCGCTGTATATATCCATATAGTTTATATTCTTTAACCAGTCACTGAACGTGTGACTTCGGTTACATAAAAGGACCTGAGAATAGAATGTTCAAATATGCATATACAGTATTCTGTTTTTCATGTGGTTGTGTTCTCTGAGCTGGATAGTTCATTTGCATACAAACAGTATTCAAGAGAGCAAGGACCCATTACAACACTCTCACCTTAAGGAAAATTAAAGAAAAATATCTCATGAACGTCTTTCAAAAGAATAGATATCCACGGAATTTCATCAAAAGACATCTGCACAAGAAGACAACATGTCAACCTGAGACCGAGCACTTCGGTCCAATCAATCGACGGGAAAATCAAGAATTCAATTCAATAATTAATATGACCCGTTGCACAAGGGGTGGCTCTTGTGGCCCAAGTGGTCTAGTGGATAACGCTTTGGCGTTTGAAACTATGGGCACTGGGTTCGAGCCTCGGTGGGAACATCATCACTCACTGAGAAATGCAGGTACATCCAGCTGACGAGTCCCAAATAGGACGAAATGTGCATCCTGGATTCCACTGCTAGCCACCATCCACCAATTGTATACAAAAGACATATACCCGCAAGCCAACCTATCACACGAAGAGCCCCAAGGAAAGCAAAAAGAAAATCGCCTTACCATATATAAAGCATATCTCAGAAATCACTACAAAACTCTTCAAACCTTTAGGAATTGACGTCTCACACAAGCCAACAAAATCACTTCACCCAGCTGGCTCTATGTCAACCAAAAGACTCAACAGCGAAAGAAGATAAAACCAACATCATCTACAAAATAAATTGTAACAACTGCGAAAAACACTACATTGGCGAAAGTGGACGTCTCCTTCATCTTCGTATCCACGACCATAAGCTGGTCGTCAAAAGACATGATATCCACTCCCTCATATAGCCTCACTACATACAGACAACCAGGGACATCAATTCGACTGGGACAACGTTCAAATATCAGACAGAGGAAACAACAAGAATGTTAGAGAATTTTTAGAAGCTTGGCATTCCAATAAATCACCAATCAATAGACACATCGAGATAGACAAAATTTACCAACCAATAAGAAAGAAACTTCACACACAAAGGGTCAAAGTTCAAGTCAAAGAAACAAACAGTTCCAAAACAAGTAACCTAGAAGGTGTGAAAACACACAAAAACAATCAATCACGTCCAAGGTCACCAGGAGAGATGATTAATAAACTTGTAGAGAAATCTAAAAGCTCACTTCAAATTAAAGTATGCGCTGAAGATGTCACCTAGTAGGGTGATGAAAGCTTCGCAAATCAACTATCCAGTTAGTTCAGAGAACACAACCACATCAGAATCATCCACCTGAACTACAAATCTTCTCTATCATGTAGTATTCTGTTGCTAATGCTGTATCGAACTGTGGGAATATGTGGGAATAATATTCCGTTGGCATACATTGTCTGTATCACACCACCACCACCACCACAGTAGTACTAATAGTCGTAGTAGTGAAACGATGAAAGAGGGCGGCCTGTCTGAACGTTGGGCTACCTAAACTTCCGCGCCAACATATCGCATCTAAGATTATAAGTTTGCAGACAGTAGGTGTTACGAACTTCCTGGAATAATTTGAGCATCGAGTCAGATTGATTCATTATATAAATTATTTAATTATTAATTTTATAAATATAATTTGATTTTTTATAAAAATAAAAATCCGAATAAATCTGCTGAAGAAGCTGTGGCTTACACAGCGAAACGTTCAGAAAACAGATCTTGTTTTGATTTTCTGGGATTAATTTAAATAATTTATAATATAATATTGCATCTAATTTATCGTGTTTTATTTGTCTGCACGTATCGAAGTACGGCGTAGAATAGTATTATTTACTCTGACGAATTTTTAAAAAGGCCAAGACCAGGTGATATAAGTATAAAACTTGGGCACTGTTTTGGTAGGGTATAACTCCATTATAGATAAGATTTTATTCTGATAAATTACACAGTGTTGTGCAATTATACCTTGCAATGACTGTGAGTAGTTAAGTCGACTACAAAGATTAGTCAAACTAGTAGAACAGGAGTAGTCAGATTGTTGGAACATAAGAATGTAGCTAAAGTTAGAATGATTCATCCCACCCTCGAAGATAAGTAATTTAGAAAAAAGCATTCAGCACTACATTACACTGCATGCATTAACACACAACCATACAATAAGATGTGTGGGACAAAGTGAAAATTCTAAATAGTAATATAGGTAGGCGAAGAGAGAGAGAGAGAGAGAGAGGTTGATTACTGAATCCTGTCTGGATCATCGAGTCCACTACACCAAACACAACACATGCAGTGGAAATGACTTAACGCAAATACCAGAGATATGGAAAATATTATTACCAGCAGTCGAATCATAGGATAATAAACGACGTTAAAATGTATTCAATTCACATTCTAAAAAATTACTTATTTTTACTATTAAAAAAACATTTTATTTCCCGTCTGATTATATTTGATTGATAATTAATTTGTGAATGTACTTTATCTTTTATTGATTTTTATTCAAATGTCCAAACAATTTTTACTCATGTATGCAAATGAAGAAAAAAGTTGTGTGAGTAACTTGATATGATTATGAGTAGGATAGTTTGTTCTCGAAACGTCATCAGTTAATATATTACTGTACAACACTGTGTGATTTTGTCAAAATAAAATCTTATCTATAATGGAGTGAAGACCCAGTGAATTTGAAGTTTCTAACAATAGCTAAGAATGGGCATCACAGTGGATGATAACGTGCACTACAAAGTACACCTACCCATCGTACTACCGTTCCTGTTTTCATTAGAAGTGTGACTCCATGAGCTTTATGATGATAATCTCGTCTAACTAAGTGGTTTTACTTAATTCATACAAGATAAACTTTACTCCAAAAAAAGAAATGTGGTGGTGGAGTTGCAACTTTTATTCATTTCACAGTGGTCGGTTTCATTCTCTAGTGAATTTATCGATTGTATTACAGTCATATTGTCATCCCAAATACTTATCAAAGTAATAAACACAGTTTTATCTCAAACATTTACGTTACCCTTGACTGTTCCCTCTCGGATCTATCTAATTTTGCTGACGAATTCACTATATTTACTGGTACTCTTCTTGAGAACTGTCTATCAATGGTCACTAATGTCTTCAATTGATGCAATTGTTCTTTCCCTCAAACACTGGGTCGTGTAAACATCGTCAACTTTCCTACTAGACCTGATTAAACAAACACTTGATTGGGTGTGTTCACCAATGATTTTGGAATGTTGTATGAGGTAAGCAAACGTGCTCCAATACTGAATTCAGATCATTACATTATTCGAGCGTTGCCTAAAATATACAGCAGGTCGTACACAAGTATCTTTTCTCACCTTTCCATGAAAACGTAACATAGAGGCTACTCACAGGACAATATACATAACCTTCGATGCATGCTGAATGACACTAACTGGGAACTATTTACTAAGCACAGACTGGATGGTATAATCACTAATATAACTAACTGGTTATCTTGAATTCTGCCTAGACATATGTTGCTCTAAAGAGACATTATTCAAAAGACTTAACCGTTTCTCTTCTTCTCATCTCAAAAAGGTTCAGTGTTCAACTTCTCCCTTTATCTGCCTATATTACCCACTCAATTGTGTGTTTTAGTGCGTGCATGGTGACTTCTGAGTTTTCCTGAAAGCTGTTCATTTTCGTGCCCTCGGTCATTCTGTCTAAATGACCTGAATGACCCCAATTTACTGGTCCTACCAATTCAGTTAACCCCACAGTGACTGCAAAGTATCTTCTTGATAACATTATTTTGTCTGATTGCTTCAACAGTGTCTTTTAATTTATCGAACTTGTTCCAGAGTAAATCTTCATTTATTAAGAATCCTTCGTTAAACCAATAGCCATAAAAGAAATAAAAAGAAATTTATGACATCTACAGTTTTACCATATGACGCATGAACATCTGACACCTACATAACTGCTCAAGAGGGTCGTCTTTAACGACTAAATATGAAACGATTCTTGAGGATTCAGACGTCAAGATAAATACTTTTAAAACATATCGGTAGTTCATCCCATATTTATGATAAATTTAGGCTACAGTCGAATTAAGTGAAACCGAATTCATAAGTACATGCTTTATCAGTAATCCTAACCTGGATTTATTGGATTTGAAAGCCTACCGCACTTGGAAATCTCCTTCAATAGTATATGCAGCGACCAATTCTTCTAGTTCCCTTCA